CGAATAACATATCCACTCAACCATGGCGGCTAATTTCAAATTTGCCTAGGCAGAATTCAAATATCTTTTTTATAGTTAAAAGAAGTAAAATGTTTGCGTGTTGATCGATTTCTCTTTCTTCGCGTTCTTTTAACTATAAAAAAGATATTTTAATTTTGCCTAGTCAAATTTGAAATTTGACTGGATTTTAATTTTGCCTACAACATATATATATATCTATGAGTATGAGGTCTACTTCCTTCAATTTTCGCCAGATTCTCACAACTATAAGACTGTGCTTTGTTAACTATTTCATTTTTGAAAAATTTAGATATTTGGTTTATTTTCAATTGCAGGCAAGTTTATATTCTGAAAGGTTTTGTGGATAAATACAACAAAACTGTATCAAGTACAATGAGTAGTGTTATCAGGAAATCACTTGAGCTGTGCAGTATTTTGGTAATTTAAATGATCCTGTAAAATTGGATCATTTTTCTTGAAATATCCATCTAGATGAAGTATTCAAATATATGAGGGGGAACTGTACACTATATTTCAAAGGTCAGAAAACTGACATCAATAGACTGTTTAAGATGGATGCATTAGATTGCCATTCATCAAACCAGGAACTGGTCTAGACCGTATACCAGTTAAATCTCATTTTAGTAACTAAATGAATTTCATATTTCATTTCTACACTTTTAAGTGAACAATATTCAACAAGCTTATTCCACATTGGCCTGTGAAAACAAATAGTGCAATAAATTATTTTTGTATTTAATTATCGTTCAATTTTCATTTCATACGAATTATACTACAATAATGGTCGGCATCAATGCAAGAAACAAGGATATACTTGATAACAAGTACATATGTCGTGTGTGTGCCTTAATACTACAAGACCCAGTACAATTGACCGAATGTGGACATCGACAATGTCAAACTTGTTTACCGAATGAACATCAGTAAGTTTCCTGATTACATTGAAGCATTATTATTCATTGCTATTTTTTATTTTTATAGAAGAGAAATCACATGCGCACAATGTCAAACAAAAATGCTGAAAACTAAAGCACTGTATCTTTTTGGTAAAAACAGAGAAAATATATTTATTTTATATAGGTTCGCTGGGACCGAGGTTTTCAAAATGCGATGAGAATACTGCCAATTGTTTGTTGTTTGTGTCAATGGAATGGTATCTTAGATAACTATCAAGTGATTTATTTTATATTCAGTTTATTCTTCAATCGTTGAATTTCTCATTTGATAGAATCATCTCGATCAATCTCATCCGAATCTGACATGTGAATATNTGACACATGCCAGTATAGATTGTCTTTGTTTTCTTCGTAGTGGACGCACAATCTGAAAGACAAACATCAATTTACTCGCCTCCATTTTATTCTTCTCCAAACGGTTATAAAATGAGAGCTCGTCTTTATTTAAATGGTGATGGAAATGCTCGTCGAACACATATGTCCATGTTTTTTGTGCTCATGCAAAGCTCGAACGATCCGATTTTGAAATTTCCGTTCAAGTATAAAGTCACATTTTGTTTATACGATCAAACGCCGGCACAACGACATATTATCGATTCATTTCGACCAGATATCAGATCGAGCAGTTTTCAAAGACCCCGAATGAATATGAACATTGCAAGTGGTATACCGAAGTTTTTTCCATTGGAAAATATTCAACAAGAAGGTAGTCCATATGTTCAAGATAACATCATGTTCATCAAAATTTTAGTTAATTTCCGATGTTTACCGAAAACATTATTGCACTACATTTTTAGTTTGAACCCTGGTCTACCAATGCATGTTCAACAAGCAAAGATTAACTCAGAGGTGGAACGGATGCATAGAGATCAACATCATGAATCGAACGAACAAGAAGATACTGAACTTAGCATTGAGGAAAGTGTTCCTTAAGAAAAATATTAAACACCGATAAGACCAGTGAACTCAATTTGTAATTTTAACTGCTTATTTTTTCTTTTTTTTTAATTTTTTGATCGATCAAAAAATAATTAATCTCTGTGTGGAGAAAATGTTGGCTCACTCATTCGTTAATCCAAATGAAGTCGATATCGATAGCGTCTTGAAAGCTTTTTAAAATATTTATACTCAACAATACGTGTATAGAATGACATCAAAAGCTATTCTTTTGTCACATAACTTTGATAATATATCAAATAGCGCGTTTCAGAGACTTAATCTATGAGCTTACATTTGCATTTGTCACTTCCAATGAATTTTGGTACTATGTTCACGAGCATTTGGTTGTGTCTCGGAACATGAAATCATCATATTAATGATCTATTGTGTTACAATGGATTCAATATGAAAATAAGACGAAAAGACAAAATGCTACTAAAATAATGAATACAATAACTACTTAAATGAATCTCAGTCTCAATCTAATATTGATCATTGAATAATTGCTTTAAAAATTCAAATGATCAAAATTTTGATGTAGCTCATTTGATAACCTTCATAGCTTTTTAAATATTTTCCAAAGCTTAAAACGAATATCAATCCCATTAAAGATCTCTCACGCCAGCAGACTGGCCTCTAGAGGCAGCTTCTCTTTTTTATTAGTAGCAAAAAAAACTTCTATTAAAAAAATGTTATATATCTGTTTGAAAACTAATGCTTTTTTGAAATAAAAATAAAATACTGAAATGCTTTTTATTTGACTCAACGAATTTTTTCTTCGTTACAAATTTATCTGTCATCTTTTACAAACTCAGTTGAGCATGAACTCTAGAAAAATCTGTTTTTATTTGCTGACATCCGTTATTTTAACGACTATTAATTTTACTATTGAATTATCACTGAAATAAAATGCATTTCTCGTATGATCCTTAAGCAGGAGTACGAAGAGAAATATATTCTTAACATTTTTTCGAAGTGCGATGCAGTTCTTTTTTAGACTAGTTCCACTTGTTATGTTAGTATTCAATTAAATTAGAATTTTTTCATTGAAATCTTTTAAATCACGATTAGTTTTCAACTTTGAAAAACATTACATCATTGTTAAGGAGATGAATGTTTCAAATATCACAGTAAAACACAATATATATATATATATATATAGATCAATTTCGAAATTTTGATAATCGGAAGTATTTTGTTAGATAGCACGATGTGTGACGCATTGCTCCTTAAAGGTATCGCCCACTCAAAATACTACTCATTTTTACGAGCAATTGCCCATACGGTTCTTAAAATTGAAATTAAACCACACTTTTTTTTTCAAATATTAAGCGGATTGTTTTAGTTCAGACGAAATTTTCCTGATTCTTAGCGAACCTTTTGGTGATTGAAATCTCCCAATAGAAACTTTACTTCGTATATATGTTGCCACTAAACCAAATAAATCATTGTCTTTTTACAATCAAATAACAATTTTCGAAGAGCATTCTTAGATTATTTTTCTTTCCGAATTATAATCAGCTTGGCAGACTTGATATTTTTAATATATTCTATATGTTACCATATTTGAACAAAGTGTACTAACGCAATATCTCAGGCAATCCTTTTCAAGGCAAATTGAAGACTTAATCTCGTGTCGTAGTAAAAATGTGAGAAAAACTGAATAAATCAAATTTTTTTTCATTGATAATTCACTCATTTTATCTTTTCGTATAATATGAAAAATAATGCTGGTTTTTTTCAGGTGAGTGAAAAGCTTTACCAATGAATCATATGTTAGAAGTCTTCACAAAAATAAAATATCTTGCATATCAAAAAGTGCACTATCTTCATTGACTTAGCCCACACTAGGATTTATAGCATAGATAAAAATGGCCAGATTCAATCAAATCTGGGTCATGGATAGCGGGCGTTCTGTACGACTATCGTGTGGGTTATTCTTTTGAAAAATGCTATCGACACGAGTAGATATGAGATACTCATCCGGTTACATGTGAGAGATTTCAAAATAGACGAATGAATAAAACATGATTCGAGTAGAATCAGTTTATATTTCGGTTCATTGCAAGATCGCATGACTGCTGAATGAGACGACATTTGCTATTTTTTGCTGCTAATCAAGTTTTTTTCATTTTCAATAGCAACTGCAATCGATGGTTTATCATTGCAAATGAAGTTTGATTTGTTTCAGAACTATATATTTTTATGTGTGATGATAACAAGTGTTTGTATATACTGATGAGCGTAAAGGCTAAGTAGGGATTCGTTTAAAATTAGAACTGGTGACTAATGATGAAAAAGGTAATTCTTTATGACCTTGATTTTAGAGCATATATTTAGACGAAAAAAGAATTGTATGAAATTTTCGAATAAAAAACCTGAATGAACATATCCCACGCCTTTGAAGAATTCAATTTTATTGAGCATCTACTCTATGATTACTATTCGCAATATGAAAATAGGTCACGTCAGTTCATTGGCACATTTGATTGATAATTTATCATGGAGTAACTTTTGACATAAGAAAGGGATTGATTAGTTCGTCATTATTTTACACTTGGAAAAAAGTAAATCTATTAAAACTTTCTACAATCTATTTTAATTAGATTGATAATTAGAAGTTTGTTTTATAATGTGAATCATTTTTTATGAGTTACTTTCATCAAATTTTTTAATAATCTTCAAGATAATTATGAATGGAAGTATTCAGAGCTAAATTTTTGTTTTACAAATATTCTATGAAGAAATGATAGCAGTCATGTTGACGGCAATTTGAAATTTACACTTGATTTATAATGAGAAAGGTAAGGATTTCCCTATATCGCAATACAAGTTTATAGAAGAAAGACAATGTTGACAGTAATTATATAATTCGAACGTATACCACACTTGAATACGCATATGAGAAAACGTAAATCTAACTGTCTATCTATGAGTCATCTTCAGTGAAAATGCCATATAGTTCTACTTGTTATAAAGCAATATGTTTTTATATAATAAATCAATGAATCTTTAACTATTGAGTTGATGGTTCTAACTCATAAATGATTTGTTTATAACTACTTTCTTATCTAAGTAAGCCATTCTGATGAAAAGCTCTTGATAAATTTGGAATAGGAGTTTCTCTTGTTCAAATGTGAACTAATGATATATCTGAAATGTCAATCGAAAGAAAAAAAACATTTAGATTTGGCTGAAGTCTTTTACTGCTGCTATGTTGAAAGAAAGATGAAAAATATGTTACATAATTTTAGTCAAATCAAATATTTACTTTTGTTGATATTCAGAAATGCACCTTTCCAACAAAATATATGGATTCTACTACTAAACTGTTGCTATATGAATCATGTAACATAAATTCGTATTGTAATCACTATTAGTTACAATATTTCGCGATCTATTTGTTACTGATTCGCTTTCGATAGAAACGAATTATAATGCCACGGGTTGGAAAATCCCTAGTGATTTAAATGAATCAACATGAGTAATCATTACGTTTGCAATGGCAATATGTCATGATTATGAATGTTTTTCAACGATGTTGCGTAAAAAAGATAATGTATAAATACTTAAAAAATCATTACACTCACTAAATTTATTACAAAAGTATAGATGAATAATTTATTCACTTATTGACTTGATCGAGATTTAATTTGTGCGTCTTTTATAAATAAAATATAAAATCCGAGTAAAATTCTGGTAAGTAACATAGTAAATAGTTTAATGATATTTGTTCAAATAATAAAAGTCGAACAAACTAAATGGTAATGCTTTCAGACATTGAATCAAGTCGCATCATGTATGCCTGTACTTTCTTGGATATTGCGTAAGACAATTCATGATAACAATTTTTGGAAATTTCCATTCCATGATTTCTGTGATTCTGCGAATATTGAATATATAAGAACTCATTGAATTTTTTTAAAATAATTTCAATGCTCTTTCTAATGAATTAAGACCCCTTTTCGACATCAAACAAACTTGCGATAATTATGCGTCAATACTGATATGTAGGACTGTGAGTCATTTATTTTCAACCACCTACTCAATCGATTATGTCGCACTTATTTTATTCACTTTTTACACTATTTATATATTGCGTCTGAATTCTCTTAGCCGATACTTTATTTTATTCTTTTATCAGATACAATCGATTTCTCCATGACTCTACGTCCCTTTCATTATCATTTCATAGTTAGTCATTCAAAGTTATGCTTTTTTCTCAGCCATACAATAAACGTAAGAATCAATTTCTTTTATTTCCTGAATGATCGTAGTTTTTAGGTGCGAAAGGTGAATGTAATTAGCGCTGTTCTTTTTTTTAGCTCTTACATATGTTCTATTATCCGTGTTAAGACGGTTAAAGTGATAGCGTACTTCGATTTTTCGTGACTAATGCAGATGTCAATGAAGTTTCGATGCGCTATAAGAGTTGCGGTGTTGAAGGGAGGAACGACTGTCAGTTAGAGTTTGGCGTTTCTCTCTGGCCTACGATTGCACTTTTTTTAAAATATAGGAATGCTTAGAGAATCAAGGTTATCAAAAATATAGGATGTTTTATACATAGTTTCTGTTGAATTGGTTTGCTGTTTTTTAACTTCTCTGCTCGAAAATCGTTTAATGAAGCTGTTATAAACAGTTCAACCGTAGCCAAGATCTTTATGTAATTGTTTCTACTGCAATAAGTCGCTACTTCAAGGATCATTATAAAAGTCTTCTCAAATCGATGAATAACAATAAAGTAGATCATAAACTTTGAAAGAAAAATACATGAAAAAGACAAATACTATTCTCATAAATTAAAGGAGACGTTTCAGATTACGGATATCACTTCCCAAAAAATCTCAACCTAATTTTATTGTCCTGATAATCAGCATTCATTGCTTATTATTTTTCACAAGTTTATTTTGTATTTTATCATAACTCAATTTTTTCTGGTAATAAATAAGTGTCAATGCAAATGCATATACACAGGATGGTGTAAAATCTCACGAACTTTCTGAAGATGTCGTTACTTTAAAAAAGATATGTTGTTTTGGTAACAGTATTCTCAAAATGCAGAGTGAAACTTATTTTTTCCAGGAGTATATATATACAGCTTTCATATCTAACTAAAACTTCACTAAAAACCCGAAACTAGTACATGATCATTTTGTGAATGTTTTTTTCTTTTGAACTATTTTGTATTTTGTTCTTAGTATTAAACAATTTCTCAATCAGTCCACTAAATAGGCGAAAGGAAAAAAACTATTTAAAACAAATGCCACTATAATACAAGAATTTGTCGAAAACACATGATTATACACATTAAAATTTTTTTTTCGTCTAAAGGCAATAGCAAAATTAAGAGGTTTTTGGAAATTTCCTACTTTCTTCGATAAAATGTAGGAAAAATAGGAATTTTCATTAAAATATAGGTCAAAAATAGGACGCTTTTGAAAATAGAGAAAATATAGGTCGAATCGCCGCTCAGGTTTCTCTTTACGATTTTATTGATCACAGTCATATCATTAATCATCACACTAATATCAACGCATACTACATATCCATGGATAAAGTGTACTATTTCTCACCAACATTGTAGAAAAGTCGATTTCGTTTTTAGACTCGATGAACTTATTTTCCAATGGCTTTCATATTGATATGAAAACCATCTAAGATCCTATTCTGCACTGTATCTGCTTTTCTCAGCCAAAGAGCATGTACTGACAACTTACAGAAAATCAATACCACAGCCATTCTACAATATCCATACTGTTTGAAAATTTCTGCCCGACATATTCTCACATATTATTAATTCAAAAGTAAGTTATACAAGTATGCCACCATAATAAAACACATATAGCCATCTAATTATTTCTCGTAGATAACGAAACTATCATATTTAATTGATACAGATTATAAGAAGTTGTATTTTGACATTGAGATCAGCCACAGTACTTAATGTTCAAGGAATTAGTGTTTTCTACAATAAATATATATATGAATTTTTAACATACATCAGCTAATCTGATTGAATCATAACACATTAATCAGTGTTTTCGCTGCTTTATGTGCGAATATAAACTGATTCTAATATTCAGATTAGGAAAAGCATAACCCAAGATCGCTTTTACTATGAGAAGCTATTTTCGCCCGTGTTGCTTTATGAGAATGGGTAAAAGTCATGCCCGGAAAAAGTTGACTATTAGATTCTAATCATTAATACCTACTGAATAGTTGGCATAATTCCATAGAAAATGTTTTTTTCACTAGGGCAGCGCTTAGGTAAAAAATAATAAAAAATCCAGTCTCATTTTCCACGTGGTAGGAAGTAAAATGCATTACCTGTCAGCTACATGAGTCATCACGGTGATGAAAAATTTATCTACTGTCAATGCATCCACATAAATAAGAAAATATTATGCACCTATCAGCGTTTTTAAATTTATCGTGAAGAACTTTGATTATGCGAAAAGGTTTTAGTTCATTGACTTTCACCACATAAACTTAAGCAGATGTCTCTAAGCAGAGTTGTGAGTCATTCAGGTGGGAGGTTTGTAGATGTCATAAACATGTCGATTTATGATATAATGAAAAATCATTAATAGAAACGATTGATTTATTCTCGCTTAAAGTAATATCGATATTTCCCATAATTACGACGATGTTCTCAAGGAATAGTTCTAGTTTTTAACAATTATAAAAGCTACACTCAGTTTTTACATTACTTAAAGTACGCTCTCTCAGAAACCTTGACTCATCCATCGACATTCAATATTTGACCATAAGTTCATCAGCAAATTAAAGGCTCGACGGTTTTCAGCAAATAGGAACGTCTCTCCAACTTTTCATTATATTTTACTTTATGAAAAATTGAGATTCCCAACATAGGTAGAATTATTATTGATTACATGCGTTAATTTAAAGAAAAATAGTATTTAGTATTCATTTGCTTTAAAAGTGAGTTATTTCTTAGTGATTTTTAAGAGGATTTTGATAATTTGTGACGAATTTGATATATTGATTGATGTATTGGATCTATTGAAGAAAATCAAGCAAATATAAGATCACTACTTTTAGATAAAAATCAACATTTGATTTTCATTTCATAAATAATTGTATTCACAATAATGAACGGCATCGATGCAAAAGATAAACAAATGTTTGATCAGAAGTATATATGTCCTGTGTGTGCGTTGATACTACGAGATCCGGTGCAATTCATACGATGTGGACATCGACAATGTCAAACTTGTTTACCGAATGAACATCAGTAAGTTTCATGACTACATTGAAGTATTATTATTCATTGCTATTTTTTATTTTTTTAGAAGAGAAATCACATGCGCACAATGTCAAACAAAAATGCTGAAAACTGAAGCACTGTATCTTTTTGGTAAAAACAGAGAAAATATATTTATTTTATATAGGTTCATCTTGACCGGGGTTTTCAAAATGAGATGAGAACACTACCAATTGTTTGTTTTTTGTGTCAATGGAATGGTATCTTAGATAACTATCAAGTAATTTATTTTATATTCAGTTTATTTTGCAATCTTTGATCTTGATCATTCCACAGAATCATCTCGCAGAATATCATCCAAATCCGATATGTGATCATTGTGGCAAACAATTCAACTCAACTAACAAATTCAATGAACACAGACTTGTTGATTGTCCTGGAATCAGCGTTGAATGTTTATCACACGATTATGCTTGCAATGAGCACGTAGTAAGATTTTCTATTTGCAATTGACATTTAAAAAGTCATCGTCTTTAGATTACTCATGTTGAAATAGAAGAACATTCCATGGCTGAACAAGATCAACAGACTTTCAGTAATGATGTTCGTCGAATTTCATTGTGTGAAAATGAAAGACAAACGAATACTGACTTTCCTCTAACAACAACAACTACAGAATCTTATGATCCTGATACGATTCAATTTGAAGAACTTCGTGACATAATTAACGTCTTAACAGGTGGCATCGAAGCACTGGCAAATGATGCACAACGTCTGAGCAATGAATCTCTTCAAGCGCATATTATACGTCAAGCAGGGACAGAACAATTGCTAACATTGAAAAATTCTGTGGAAGAATCAGATGCTGTTTTAGAAGGAATTAGCTTTAATCTAGATATTCTCCGACAGGATTTCACATCACTGCAAGAGAAAGTCAATGATTTCCAGTGTGTTTCATATGATGGAACATTTCTTTGGAAAATAACTAATGTCAAAGGGAAGATGAGTAAGTTCAACAAATATTCTTTTTCTTAATAATAAACATAGGATACTTTATCAAAAGATTACATGTTGTTTTCTTTATGATTTAACTAATACTGCTTCAGTTTTGTATTCAATCAAGTAGATTGACACATGCCAGTATAGATTGTCTTTGTTTTCTTCGTAGTGGACGCACAATCTGAAAGACAAACATCAATTTACTCGCCTCCATTTTATTCTTCTCCAAACGGTTATAAAATGAGAGCTCGTATTTATTTAAATGGTGATGGAAATGCTCGTCGCACACATATTTCCATGTTTTTTGTGCTCATGCGAAGCTTGGACGATCAGATTTTGAAATTTCCGTTCAACTATAAAGTCACGTTTTGTTTATACGATCAAACGCCGGCACAACGACATATTATCGATTCATTTCGACCAGATATGAAATCGAGCAGTTTTCAAAGACCTCGAACGGATATGAACATTGCAAGTGGTATACCGAAGTTTTTTCCATTGGAAATGATTCAACAAGAGGGAAATCCGTATGTTCGAGATGATACCATGTTCATCAAAATTTTGGTTGATTTCGGAGATACACCCAAAATATTATTGCCTTACGTCTTGAGTTTGAATCCGGGTCTTCCAACGCATGTTCAACAAGCAAAGATTAACTCAGAGTTGGAACGGATGCATAGAGATCAACATCATGAATCGAGCGAACCAGAAGATATTGAACTTAGCGTCGAGGAAAGTTTTCCTGAGTAAAATACTTGCGTGATATGGCCACTGTTTTTTATGTTATTTTTGCATTTGTTTCTTCTCATTTAGTAAATTAGTTGTTTAGAATATTCTGATGCTCATGCTTTATGAATTATGAGAAGAATCTTCTATTGAAAACGATAGCATGATAATTCAGTCTCTGTTGGAGTCTCATTTTCTAAGGTGATCTTTATTAAAAGACTCAAATACATTTTCGGAGCTGAATGATTATCAGGATTATCAAACGAACTGAATGATTCTCGATGAAACGCTTTTGGTGTTCAGATACATGTGTATTCGAAACGTAAAAAGATAAAATTTTTATTAGGCGACTTATCACGTGCATACCCAGGTCGATCAACTTGCGTCGTACACGGCCGTTTGGTATGCACCGTATTACGATCGATTTGTATCGTGTCATAAACGATCGGATACGGAAATATCCGACCACATTACGGTCGTTAGTAGCCATTTACGACACGATTAATTACGGCCGTAATATGGTGCATACCAAAACGTCAAGTTACGGCCATTTACGGTGAGAAACGGCAGTATACGTTAACGTTTACGGCCGTATACGATCGTTTCTGGTAGCCGTAATGCTCGATCTGGGTATATTCAAAGCCAGTCGTCGAGTATAGAAAGAAAAATAGAGGTCGTTGTAACGATAAATAGGGCTCTTGCTGGCTGATTTATTAAGACAAATTGGATAGAGGTGGAGTAGCTTAGCGCCACTCTAGGCAATGATGTTTATTCGCTTCTTCACATATCCAGAGTGTAACAACTTCATAAATAACACATGTATATATAGAAGAGAGACAGGAGAGAAATATATTATAACAATGGAAAGAGAACAGAAGGAAGAGGAAGAGAATCATCGAATCCTGCCATCAATATCGGCACAGTCGCTAAACCAAGCCCATGGTTATGAAAAAAAAATTTATAATAATATATTATACTCGCTGACTTGCAAAAATATTAACTAATATAAATAACCAAATAATGTACATTTACATTTCTCCACTTGCTATACACTGTAGATTCATACTCACACTGCCGTAGACGATTAATATTACGCTTACATTCATACAATCTCGGTGATCCCTTGGGGAGAAATATCAATGAATTGGTTAAACAACTAGTCGGAGAGGCTTTCACAATACAAGGATGTGGTGATCGATGATATGCTGAAGAAAATTTAAGTAAATGGATTTTGTAATAAACTAATCGTAAGTACCTTAATTTAATTTTACTTCGATCTCATGAGAATATATCAAATTTATAATCAGTTAAACTTAACCAGAAAGAAAACAAACTAATTTTATTGATGATATTTTTAACATTCTCTTGTTGTTTTTAGTATTAAGATAATATCGTGTTCTTCTCAATATATTTTTCTCTTTTCATTTCTCACACGCACGCCTTGTATTTATGCTCTACAGGTACTCAATTATTACAGTTGATGTTCCGATATATGTTTTTAATCATCGGGAATATAACTCAAATAATTTTCATTCATCAGGAGTGAATGAGACATGATTTATACGAAGTTTCAATCCAAAAAATCCAATAGTTTTTTATTCAGTGGTAATTTTCATGTTCGACGACGAATCTAGCGTGTCATAAGTTTGCCGGGGTAAAAGCAATCTCGAACGTAATGAATAATAGCCATACAAGAATATAATGAAGCATATTTTTTACTGCGAAAATTATTGCAAAGTTGGTCAAGTCCTATAAAGGAAGTATGTTTACACTTGATCATTAGAAGAAAAAAAAGATTTTTATCGATTCTGCAAAATTTTCTCTTGTCGTTTCATACCACTGTCCTGTCATAGTCAACTCTACCGATAAAAGATTAAAAATCCAGTTTGAAACAATGATGTAACTGAAATCTCTCCTACCCTTATTGAAATATTGTGGCATTGTAAGTGTGCACAATAATTGGAATTTTTAGTTTGTTCTTAGGTATACTAGATGCGTTCTACAAAATAGACGATTGTGTTAACGCACGCACATTTAGATATGCGTCTGTTTTCCGCACCATTCACACTCCGAGGAGCCAAATATTTTCCTAAATTCACTGCCTTTTAAAACTAATATCTATGCATGACACAAATCAACAAATATTGCATGAAAAATTTCTATTTTCTATTTTTCTATTTAACAGGCTTGTTCTTCTTTGATAGTGAATGCATAGAAATGTATTAATCTAGAATATGATATCAAAAAAACTTATAATTTAACAGGCAAAATGTCAGATGGATAACATTGAAAACAGAAACGTAAAATAAACAAGGGTAAATGTTAGTATACTATCGGCAATAGAGTTCATGCGATAGTAATCACTGCTGAGCAAAACGATATCTATAAGCTAATGAAAAATAATAATTGTTTGTCTTTTAGTTTTGAGGTTTTTTCAATGTAATCTACCCCATTATTCATGTATGAGTTTAAAACAGACAAAGATAAAACTTTCACCAGAACATGTAGTACGTAGATAAATCCTAAGCAGATTACACTCGGTTACCTAAACTGAGACTTTCTAGTGATAATAAACATAGAGTACGCATTTATAATCTTCTACTTGTTTTTACGCTAAAGTTTCACATTTTCACCCTTCAATAAACGATAAACGAACGGTAAAGTGTCTATGTTTGATATTTTTCTTCAATGCCTATACATAATAATCGAATACGTCTGATACCGTCGCATCACATAAGCAATGCGCTAGATAATAATAACAAGGTGAGGCGGTAGTTTGTATGCTGCATGGCACTTAGATAACTGCATGGGTTCACACAAAATACCGACGTTCGAAAATTCACCATTACTTGGCTTGATGCATCTAAAGAATTAATAATTACAAGATCAATTGAGATTACCATCACGGCATCTGTAATATATTCATTCCTCTTCTTGAACGTGACTCGATGGTATTGAGTTTACAGGTGTTTTGAATATTTTCTGTAAACAATTGGGATCACAGTGTGAGTATGGATATCGCTTTCTGTAGATTTCATCTTCATGGTTATCGGACAACGGAAACAAAAGTCTTTGCTTTTATATAGAATCAGTGTCAATAGATATGGAAACTAAGTAACAATATTCTTCTGATTATTATTGGTATCTATTTTGAAAATCCAAGAAAACAGACGCACATGTCTTTTCTCTATATGAATATTTCATATGATCGTATTTTTATGCAAACTAGATGGATTATTCTAAGAAATACTTTACAATTTAGTAGCCTAAAATAAATTCTTACATTGATACTATAAAGTATCTCTTCAATTCTATTGAAAAAAAGAATGTGTGAACACAACTGTTATCAACATGTTATCATGAATACTTGTAAGTTAAGAAAGAAAAAAAAAGGAAGATATCAGCAAAAGTTAAACTATCTAGCAGAAGAAAATAATTTAAATGTAAATTTACTTGATCTTGAGGGAAACATAGTAGATAACATATTAGATAATATATTTATAATCATGCCTGTTCTTAGACAGAAAGAAAAGGCTTGGTAAGTGACATGTTGCTGAACAACATGAGTTTGTTAGTAGCAATACTTCTGCAAGTAATACCACTGTATGTTGCAACGTTACCTACCAATAATAAAACCGAGCACGCGATCGTAGTTGATTCATTAGATATAGCACCAGTATGGGCTGGGCATCCAGTTAGTTTTGTCTTATTAACGAAATTACCGTATCAGTTTATAGCATATTATGATGAAATACGCCAAATGACTATTGCACAGCGTAATATAAGCGATCGTATATGGACAATTAATAAGCTACCAGTAATCACGAATTGGGACAGTCACAATTATATTGCAATGGCAATTGATGACGATGGTTACATGCATTTAAGCGGAAATATGCATGTAGTACCACTGAAATATTTTCGTACTGCTCAACCACTTAATGCTTCTACGTTCGTCGAAATAGATCGAATGGTTGGTACAGATGAAAATAGTACTACTTATCCGATATTTTTGCGCGGGCCAGAAAATGAATTTATCTTTACGTATCGATCGGGTATGAGTGGAAATGGTAATCAGATTTATAATATTTACGATTTAAAAACGAAAACATGGGCACGTTTACTTGATAAGCCTTTCACTGACGGTGAAGGTAAACGCAATGCATATTTCGATGGACCAATCAAAGGTCCGGATGGATACTTTCATTTAGCTTGGGTGTGGCGTGAATCACCAGATGCCTCTACTAATCATGATCTTAGCTATGCGCGTAGTAGAGATTTAGTATCTTGGGAGACTGGTGCTGGTAAGCCACTCATATTGCCAATAACATTGGAAACTTGTGAGATCGTTGATCCTGTACCGCAAAAAGGTGGAATTATTAATGGCAACACAAAAGTTGGCTTTGACGAACAAGAACGTGTAACAATCAGTTATCATAAAAATGATGCAAATAATTACACACAGCCATGGACAGCGCGTCTCGAAAATGGCACATGGAAAAAATATCAGATTACAAATTGGCCATGGCACTGGGATTTTAGTGGCGGTGGTACACTCAATTTTGCTATTAGACTCGGCTCAGTAACTAAGGAAAATGATGGAAATCTCACACAAGCATTCAGTCATATTAAATTCGGCAGTGGTACATGGTCCATTGATTCGAAGAATTTGAGTGCTACTGGTAAACTTCAACGAGAAACCATACCACCATCGCTACTCAAAGTAGAGGGTAGTTTTCCTGGATTGGAAGTTCGTTTACTCGAAGATGCCGGTCGAAACGATGTTATCGATACTCGTTATGTACTGCGTTGGGAAACATTAGCTAGTAACCGTGATCAACCTCGTCCAAAACCATATCCTCCACCTTCGATGTTACGTGTGTATACTATAAAAATTATATGGGAAAATGCATATGCTAAACCTTAATTTTGAATTCGTGATCCTTTCGAATATTCGAAAGTCGCATGAAAAAACATGCCGTCGATTTGCTGCTAGTTTTCTTGAAATAAATTGTGAGTTTTTAAATAACGCTTTAAAAATCAGAGCTGAACCATATAGTTTAACGCCAAGTTTTTGAATTTTATTTATATAAAAATAAAAAAAACACCTAACAGGCATAGCATTTTTCCATTGAGAAAAAAACCCTACAATTACCATATTTGATGACCTTCCTCGATAGAACTCGCTAATAGATCGTATTTTTTATTATGAAATACGAATCCAAAGAACTATTGAAGAATATAGATTACCACTCATTTCTTTCTCATCTAAATGTACGGTGTGATTAACCATAATTCATCAGACCCAATCCTACAATCATACACATTCGGTACATAAATATGATATAGTCATTTGATCTTTTGAATTTGTTTCAACTTAAACTTCAGTTGAAAAAACGTAAATAATGGTGCTAATCTTTTTTTCAGTCAAAAAGATGTTTACAACCGTTATATATCTAGTGAAGGATCACACGCTCAAGAAAAATCCAATTGATTTAATGCCAAAAAAAAGATTATTTACTTAAGTAATTCATATTCATGGGTTTGTTCACCCGTAGTAACTTGTAAGGGATTACATGTTAATAATTTTTTTCAATATCAGATTCTTGATCTGAATGCGTTTAGATTTTTCGCTTAATTTTTAAACACCAGCACTGTTATCAGGATTAAGAACGCTATTAATCCGCTTCGATAACATTTCCAGTCGACAATTACAGATTTCGTACTGGGTTGTAACCAACCAAATGCGCTCCCGATACGATCGTAAACGTTCATATTTTAGCTGCTTACACCATCCAGTGTTAGGGTGTGGGTGTTGGCGTTACTTGTTTTGGCTAGCACATATCCACACACCCACACCCTAAGAAAACTGTTAATAGTTTTTAAAAGAGTAAATCAGAAACGAAATAAGGATCGGTTATTGAGCGGTCAAATCTACTAGATATGCGATTTTCCTGCCTACTAACCTAATATATTAGACAAGTGCCGATATTATTCATGACTAATGCAGGCTAGCTTCTTTTCCGACATCAACTTTAGTATCTCGGTTAATTAGCAATCCTATTGAATGTTTTACGATAACGTATCAGAGCAGTTACTTACTGTTCGGTTGATGAATAGCGTGATTAATTAGTCTTCATCTCGGAGAGTTCTATCAGATAGATAAAGTTTACGGGATTTATTTAGAATAATGCCGTAAGGAGATTTTCATAAATTCATTACTTCATTTTAGTCACATTTTAATTAATCTCTTTCAGTTAATTAAAATTTCAAGCAACAGCGATGCCAACCTACGCAGTCATCTAGGTCAATCACATAATATGCCAGAGATGTTGTTTGAATCACAGCGTAATCAATCTACAGCAAATTCAAAGCAAATCAAACCGGAAAAGAAACCAGAGCTCCATCAAGTTGCAATTGATTGTACAGGGGGTGGCAAAATTATAGGACCCCTTCAGTCAACGCAAAAAAATTAACTTTTTATTTCAAGAAGAGGCAAGTTCGTCTGGTGAATATCTGCGATAGACACATTGGTATATGTGATATACTAGTATGTCTTTATTCTTTGTTTTCTTCTTTTAAATGCGTGTAGAAATCGACAGGAAGAAAAACGTGCTGTGGCATAATTATAGGACTCCCTCTTATTTTTTTCCTTTTCTTCTCTCGTTTTCATTTGAAATCAGCTTTCGTACTATATATTCACTATAATAAACTCTGCACAATTTCATTAAACAAACGATGGGACGAAAGGCTGTTGATATTACTACAAAACGAACCATTATTCTTTTGCGTGCCAGTGGAATGTCACAACATGAGATTTCTCGAAAACTGAACATCTCTCGGAATTGCATTTGTCAAACTATTAACAAATTCAATAAACTTCACACAGTCGCTACGAAACCTGGAGCTGGACGTCGTTCAAAGTTAACAGATCGGCAAAAACGAGCTATTAAATTACAGCAAGTTCGTGATGATACTCTCTCGTTAAACGATCTTATTCGCTACGTTCAAACAAGTTTCAACATAACTGTCAGTCGTCCAACAATGAGTCGTATTCTCAATGAATTCGACATATTTTCTTATGTTGCACCGAGGAAACCTCGGATAAATCATAGACAACGATATTCTCGTCTTCAATGGTGCTACCAACATTTGAGCTGGGCAGAAAATGATTGGTCAAATGTTATATTTACGGATGAAAGTAATTTCGAAATATTGAATCGAAAGAATCGGATCTATATACGTCGATTTCGAAATGACTTAAAACGATTTAAATGGTCTCAACCGCGGGTGCACAAAGGTGGCGGTGTTGGTATATGGTCTTATCTAACATGCCATGGTCTAGGGCCGATTGTATTCTATGATGGGTCGCTAAATTCCGATAAATATATTGATATACTCGACCAGCATTTACCAACAGCATATGAAAAATTCTTGCCACAATCACCTCGTAAAATTTTGCTGCAGCAAGATAATGCTCGTCCTCATGTGTCAATCAAGACTCGAAAATATTTCAAGAAAAAAAAGATTAATCCCATTCCATGGCCAGCAAATAGTGCAGACTTAAATTTAATAGAGAACATTTGGTCCATCTTAGATGATAAACTTTTAAAATATAATATTAATAACACGGAACAACTAAAAACTGCATTAAAGATGGTGTGGATGGAACACTCACATGATGCAATACAAAAACTGTTTGAATCTATATCCAAACGAATCCGTCAAGTAATCAAACGTCGAGGTTTCGCTAGCCATTATTAGTGTTTTTGTGTTTTGAAAAGAAAACTTTATAATAAACAAAAGAAAAGAAAGATACATAAGGGGTCCTATAATTATGCCACAGCACTTTTTTCTTCCTGTCGATTTCTACACGCATTTAAAAGAAGAAAACAAAGAATAAAGACATACTAGTATATCACATATACCAATGTGTCTTTCGCAGATATTCACCAGACGAACTTACCTCTTCTTGAAATAAAAAGTTAATTTTTTTGCGTTGACTGAAAGGGGTCCTATAATTTTGCTACACCCTGTATAATATGGACTCTTCCCTATTCTAATACAGTTTCTATTATGTTCTTGCCAAGGGGGAACAAGCTGATTTCCAGTCATAGAAATCACTAGAAATCACCGTCCATTAAAGATTTGAATAACGACTCAGTTGTTAGAAATTACAGGAAACAAATGTAAATAAATGTAACTCACAGAAATTCTCGAACTATACAGTGAAAGAAAATATTGATTTCTATTGATTACTGATGATTTTTACTAATTTCCGTTTTTTTCAGAATGTGCAATGTTTTCAGTGACCACTGTTGATTTCTCATAATTTTTCAACATTTCCAATCATTTCTGCTGGCTTGCAGGGATCATATAGAAACTGATTTCCAGTCATAGAAATCACTGGAAATCACTGGAAATCATAAGAAATCAAAGAAATCATGGAAATCAAGAAATCAATGTGTTGCCTCTTGGTTCTTGCCGAACATACATCAAATGTTGATTCATAGTTGAATGGCTCAACGCCTGTCGTTATTACAGTGCATTTTTCGAGTAAATTCTCGTGAATATTGGCGAATGTCCACCTAACTTTCATAACTATACCTCATATACATTTGCCAATTGGCGAAAGTGAGGTGGGCATTCACCAATGCACCACTTTGACTCTCGCCAATAATTGGCAAAAGTCACATTAGCGAAGTTCGGCGATCCTCCCTTTGGGGCTAAAATGAGGAACTCACATAATCTCTACAATTTCATTATACTAACATCGATACAATATACGTAAAGTAAAACGCATGTATCACACTGTAGTTGTTTTCGAGTACAGTCGACCAACGTGAAAATTACCTATTTTGGTTCTCTTTGTATTTAAATAAAATCTTTTTCGCTTTTGGTAGGCGCGCTCTATCTCTGCTGCTACGCGCATATTATCTTCTTCCATCTAGTTCGTATGCTTTTGATTGTTTAATTGTATTGTCGGTAATAGTTATGGTATCTAATGTAGACGGAGAGGTGGGTAATTAGTAAGGGGGTAAAAATGTAGGTAATTGGGGGGACATGTCTGCAATGGGTATGTCTGTAATGGAGAGGGAGTCGGAGCCGAAAAATTTCACATTAAAACTTACACTCATTCTTTTCTTCGAAAATATATGTGAGTTCCACAAAATGATAGAAAGAGAAGAAAAGCAAGCGATAGGCAAGATGAGAATGCAACACAAGGCTTAGAGCACATGCAAAACAGAAGAATGTATATCGCAAGACATAAAGCATATAAAATACAAAGTATCACAAGACACAAGAGATAGCATAACGAAACAAGTAAGCGAATCAAACCACACCTGAATATTGTATCATGGGCACTGGTCATGACAGTGGCATCACGAGAACTGAAACTAATAGAAACGTAGACCCGGTTAGAGTAATTCGGATCAAAATTTAAAAAACTGATTGTGCTTTTATTCGTTCTGAACCGTACTAGCTCATAGAACTTTGACTTTTTTCTCGTTGATAGTCCACAGTATCTTCTATCTACTAAAGAAAGAATAATAAAAAATATATTTTACCCTTTTCGCTGATACTTGTTTGTGCTACAATATCTTTTGGTAATTCTTTCTTTAGTAGATAGAGCGAACTTGAACTATCAATGAGAAAAAAAATGAAAGTTCTATGAGCTATTACGGCTGAGAACGAATAAAAGCAAAATCAAGTTTTTAAATTTTGACCCGAATTACCTCAACAGACTATTTAGGTATTGATAGTTTCGGCGAAAAGTTTTTGATACAATGTTTTTTAGAATTTCGATAATATCCGAACAACGTCTTGATATATTGATACATTTTATTAAATTAGATGAAGTTAACTATAAAATTTAATGTTTTAGAATGAGTTCTTGCTATCATACACGGTGGTATGTCGATATACGTAGCTTTTTAATTGTTTTTTCTGCAGGGTTCAGTTGAAGTATCAATATGGGTGCCTGTCAAACAAATAGGGTTGCGCCCGAAACGGAAGGTCCTGTGATAGATCAATTCAGCAGAAAAACGCAAGAAGATGTCATCATTGTGTGGATTGGTCAAAGCATCGAAACATCAGGAATAGTTGACCTGGAGAAAATTTTACTAAATATTAATAATTATGTCCACATACTTTCGGACATCTCGGATTTTGAACTGTACAGATCTACACAGAAAGCCGACAAGCTTTTTATTATTGTTACTGGTACGTTTGCAAAATCTTTCGTTGTAAAACATCACAATGATCTTATCATTGATTCGATATTCATTCTTGACTCAAGTTCGTTGAAGGAAAGAAAAGCACTGTATGAAGAACTTCAAAACAAATACATCAAGGTGTCAGTTTTTGTGCAATTACAAAAACTGCTTGATCAAGTTAGAACAAGCATAAAACTTTGTTTGAAGAAATCGTTGGCATTCAGCATGTTCGATGATAAACAGAAATTAGCAAGAGATCTTAATCGTGATGGTGCTTCTTTTCTTTGGTTTCAAATGCTTGTTGGTGTACTTAAAGCTTTTCCGCAAGACACCTTGGAAAAACGTGAAATGCTCGATACGTGTCGCCATGAATACAAACATAACGGAGAAGAAACAAAGATAATTGAAGAATTCGATAGCACGTATCACTCATCACAAGCTGTATGGTGGTACACCAAAGAATGTTTTCTTTATCGTCTAGTTAACAAAGCCCTACGCCAAGAAAATATTAATTTACTCAGGATCTACCGCTTTTTCATCGTTGATTTATGCAATCAGCTTGAGGAAGAACACCGAAAACGTATTGTAGCAGATTCAGCTAATAATGGTAGAGTTATTGATCTCTATCGTGGACAGCAGCTATCAAGAACTGAGATAGATAAATTGAAATCGAATACCGGAAGTCTGATTTCAACAAATGGGTTCTTTTCGACAACAACTAAGAGAGAAGTCGCTATTTCATTCGCAAATCCTCGAAAGACTGAAAGGCTAGATATTGTACAAGTATTGTTCGAAATTCAAGCAAGAAGCTGTTTAGAATTCGTTATTTTTGCTGACGTGAAAGATCTCAGTGCGATAAAAGACGAAAACGAGTATTTGTTTAGCATCGGTGCTGTATTTCTTATTGAGTCAGTTATATTTGACAATAACGAGAGTATTTGGATAATAAAAATGACGGCAACGGATCAAGGCGCAAAAAACCGAAAGGATTATATTGAACAGACAAGAGTAGATGTGGAAGAGACAAGCGAAAGTATATTATTTGGTCGCTTACTTATCGATATGGGTCAATATGAAGATGCTGAAATTTACTATGAATCGATGTTATCAAAGATGTCTGAAGCTAACGTTAATATTGCTGATTTGTACCACAACTTAGGTAGAGCTAGAGGTTACAAAGGTGATTTGCAAAAAGCTCTTCACTACTTTTCATTGGCTCGAAATAGTCGCAAAGGAAATGAACAAAATAATCCAGCTGTTGCGCGTATACTGAACAGTACTGGAATCATCTACGGCGAGCAGGGAAACTATGAAAAAGCAATGATTACGTTCAACGAAGCATTAAACATTCAACAGATTTATCAGTCATCCGTATCCAATAATCAAGCAGCTGCACAAAGCCGTAATGTATCATTAAATATTGCTATAACTCGAAGTAACACAGGTTGGGGATATTATTTACGGAGTGAGTACGAAAAGGCAAAAATTGAACACAATAAGGCTCTCGATATTCGCAGACAGTTTTTGCCTAACGAGCACCCGCTAATTGCGGATTACTATAGTTCTATCGGAACGATTGCACATGCGCAGGGGAATTATGAGGAAGCACAAAGAAACTACAACAAAGCTTTAGAAATACGCATGAGAACCTTGCCAGAGAATCACCCTCGGACTGTCGATAGTTTTCAGTTGCTGGGTGAGCTCGAATACGCTAATGGAAAATATGATAGAGCTTTAGAACAATTTGACAATGTGCGACAAATGCGTATATCAACATTTGGAAGTAATCATCTATCACTAGCAAGTATTTATAAATCAACTGGCTATGTGCACCTAGATTGTGGTCGACATGATGAAGCTATAAATAATTTTAACAGTGCGCTAGCCATTTGTAAAAAGAACCTTCCAGAGACACATCCAGCTTTTGGTGACTGTTATCATTTATTTGCCTTAGTTGAAGAAAAGAGAGGAAATTATGCAGTTGCTCTCGAGTGGTGCAAAAAGGCACATCAAAATATTTCAGCTGGTCTACCCAAACAACATCGCTTCATTGCTAAGATACTTATTACCATGGGTAATATACAAATACGCCAAAAGAAGTACCAATTTGCTCTGACTATGTATAACAATGCACTCCAAATTCAAGAGAAGTCTTTTTCTAATGGGCAACATCCAGATATTGCTCTAACTCTAAGTAATATTGGCTCTTTGCACACGCTTCTTCAAGATTTCCAGTCGGCCAAAACCAACTTAGACAAAGCATTAACAATTTGTGGTAACTGTTTCAGAAGCAGCCACCCATCCAAAGCTCGAGTGCTTTATAATATTGGCGGCATGTACAAAGAAATGGAAAACCTGCCTGAATCACTTAAAAACTTTGAAGCAGCTTTAGACAACCTTGAAAACACTCTGCCCAGTAATCACTTAAGTACGGCAGATACATGTTATAAGTTGGGATGGGTGAGCTTCGAACTCTACGACTTTACAAATGCTCTCTATTACTTTGAAAAATGCTCAAACATCTATGAGTCTCTACAGACACAACACGTGCAGATTGTAAATGAGCATGACGTGAGAATTGCACGAGAAAGTATTGATATCGTTAGATATGAGCTAGGCATAGAATAGCCACGTCTATTTACGGCATATATTTGTTCAAAGATGCTAACTACGCACGCAACAACAAGAACTGCTTGATTCGATGCATATTTAAGTGAAGTGCTGTTGAAACTTCAACATTAATATTTTTGTTTTCTCTGGGCAATTGAATCTTTTTCGTAAAATCATACATTTTCTACAAATCATGCTGTGAATCAAATAGAAACAGACCAATCTATATCGCTTTCAGATACAATCAATCTGCTAGTCTGAACTCTTGCTTTTCAGCAACCGATTCAGTCGTCGTATTTAATTTCAAAGCTAAATAATGTCCTTAATCAAATAATGAGGGTGTGGGTGTGTGCTGTTGGGTAAAAGAAGCATTCCACCCACAACCAAACACCCTCCTATCCTTAATACTTAATTCTATCCTTAACCTAATTTCTATCCGTAACCCTTAATACTATCCTTAACCTAAATTCTATCCTTAACCCTCATTTTTATGCTAAACCATTAAATCGTATGTGTTATATTTACCTAGATTTGTTGTGAGCAGAATACAAGCCAGCCCTTTCTCCTTTATTCGCACGAAAGCGGAATCGACGTTACTTGTTGTTGAGACAATCCTAAACAAAAAACAAGAGGAGCAATTGATATTGTAAGATTGAACTTACCATGAGATCAATTATTCACATATACCTAAATAGAAAAAAAAACATTAATTCATTTTATCATAGTGAACCTGCATTTCAATTGATTATTGCTACATACCTAAAGAAAGAACATATTCACTTGATTTTACCAGATTGACATTACTTTCTATTGATAATTGTGATATATGAAAGTAGATAAAATAATCAGCGCATTTTATAAGTTATAACTTACCGCAGAATTGATTATTAAGGCGCACCTGCTCATATCCATCAATTCGACTCGGATCCTCAGGCTCAGTATCGATGATGCCGGATTCGGATTCCTGGATCTCGATAACTTATTTCAAACTTCGATCAGAATATAGATCGGACTTGAAATAAAAATTTTAGTTTTACAGTTCTCGATTTTTTGATGGGCCCAATTTCTGCCCATTGGGAGTTCGGATTGAAAAAATGATAACGGATTCGGAATCCTTGACCTCGGTAACCTATTTGAGATTTATATCACTTCAAGCATGCTCCGGAAATATATTATCTTGCTTCAAGTCAGAGCTATCTTTAGAAAAATGGTTCAGCATTAAAAAATGGTACAGGACGGAACCTTTTCAAACATCCGGAACTGTTGAGGATGTGAGATGGTTCTTTAAGCTAGCTAGAATCCTCGATGGTTCATTAATGAGTGAATGAAACCTTAAAAGATCCAATATCTTGGCTAGAACCATAAATGGTTCCATATGACACCATTTTTTTTTCAGAGTACACATCGATGCTTATTCAATACACCGTTGATACATTAGACTATTCTACTTCACAAACATATCATCGAACGCATGAAAGGAACGACAATAAATCACAATGCGAGGCGTCCTCTGGTACACTTTCTCACGTGCAGAGCGCTGGTCAACATAAAATATCACTACTCAGAGAAAGATCGATTTTGAAAAAAAATCTGAAAAATCTTGGGCGTACTACAAGCCCTGGAGCTTATCATGTTCTAGTCCATGCTTTATTGTCTGCTTATCATATCAAGTTTCCGTTTGGATAATTTATACCCCGGTCGAAGAAAACGATCAGTAAACGGTCGTATACGATACAAATACGGCCCGCTTTACGCGCCGTATTTTCCCCGTATAATGATTGATGTCATAATATCCTTACACCCGGTAACGACTTATTAGCACAAACACGCTACAGTATCCACATTAGGTGCATCCACTTTTGGGTATCCATATTTGGGTATTCAATTTTGGGTATCCACATATATATATATATATATATATATATATAAATGTGGATACCCAAAAAGCGGATACACCAAAACAACTCAAATTCCTCAGCTTTTCAAAACATATACATATATATAAATGTGGATACCCAAAAGTGGATACCCAAAAGTGGATACGCTTAGTGTGGTTACATCAGGTTGTAAATGCATGAAGAATGGATACTCCATAAACTATTGCTGCATAGGGTATTGTGACGTAAAACTCTCGATACCCAGTGTAAAGGTATTATGACATCTATGCGTATAACAGGGGCAGTAATATGGCCGTATATTCTATAGAATACGATAATGTTGCGCCTGTTTTACGAGGTTTTACGGCTGATATACGGTGTTCGTGCACGGCCGTAATACTGCCCGTGTTAAAACGCCTTAATACGGCTTAAAACGGCCGTTTTACGGCGGAATACGGTGCACTGAAAAAAAAAGGTTCCATGCGGAACTTAAAAGGTTTCGTGGTGCTTTACTATACTTCAAAAGGTTTCGATCGAAAACACGAAACCTTGTAGTAGTTCAGTTCCATCAGAAGTTTTGCAAAAAACCTTTTCAAGGTTTCGGATTCAACAAGATGTCGTAATAAACCTTTTTAAGGTTTGGAATTCAACAAAGTTTTGTAAAATACTCTTATATCCGTTTTGGTTAAAATAAGTTGTAGAGTGGCGCTTTCTTTCATTACTTATTTTATTGCCGAGTGAAGTGAAAAACCAATCACTTATTTTTCCGCTGCTCAGCTTATTCTACATCAAGTTCACTGTTTCCAATATTAAGTACCTTAAACAAAAGCAAATAGTCGAAGTACTTATAATTTTTTAACGGCACTATATTTCGAATATAAATGGAGCAAGCAAAGAACCACGTTTCTTATCTACAAAGTTGGTAGAACGCTTTACGTATATATTGTGGCATTACTACAAACGTTGTTCATCTTATTCTTATTCTCCACTTTTTTACATTATTTGTTTTTATCTTTTTATCGTATACTAAGTCTTCGCAGCACAAAAGAAAACTTTAAAAATGTAGACATTATGCATATATATATATATATATATATATCCAAGAATCCTTTTATTTAATAATAATATTAAATCAAATATATATGCCAAACTGTCCACGTTTCATCGAATGTAATATAATCGTGCTAGAATTTGTACCTATTACATAAAAGTCCAAATATGTAGAAGTTTTTAATGCTGAAACGACTGTATTGTATTTTATGTGACTAACATAATCTTCTGAATATAAATCTAAGATGAACCCTTTAATGATATATTTTCTTATATAAATGTATACAAACCAATACAAACGTTTCCAGCTTGAACCTTTCTTTTATAATGGAGACACTTCTAGCAGCAAATGCTTCAAAAAACTATTTTGCACATTTTCCGCTGTTTCTTAGATACTCTTTTACTTATATATTTATTCTTGACCGTTGTCTTTACGATTTTTACATTGCATCTGCCTTGAAAAACAATAAACCTATATAATAAGTTATGTCATGACTACATCGGCCAGAAAACAAGCGTTATCTCATGAAACAATTATCAGCTATACGACCGTAGAGATAGAATTCGAAACAAAATGCAAAGAAAAGTGATTTGAAGTGAATCATCTGACTTGCGCAAGTATCCTCCATTAACAAGATTCACATTAGGAATATCAAATACACAAACGATTTTCCCCCCGGCCTTATATCATGAAATAAATCCCCGGTAACTATCATAATAACAAACGTGTTTTTTCACTTCACAATCATCGGATCACAATTGACAAAAGCCGATTACCATCAAAAAATAATAGAAACATATAGTGTCTGTTTACATTTATCACAACAAAATGTATCATTGGTAGCTACAATGATAATATTAGATTTTTTCTCATTTTATGTTAATCTAAACAGAGAACAACAACAATTGTAAGTATATAACTGATAAAATTAATTCTTTTCTATTTAGATTTCTCACAACAAAATGTATCATTGGTAAGTACAATGATAATATTAGAATTTTTCTCGTTTTAGGTCAATCCGAACAGAGAAAAAAAAATTGTGAGTTTGAAGAGATGAAAATACTTTGCTGATTGTTTAGGATGTGAATCGGTCTTTTTTTATCAATTGACGATGATCCATATTCACACATTGCTCTTGATTATTGTAAAACAAAAATCTAAACGGAGAACCATTTAGATATAGATTAAGGGTTTATGTTAAGGGTTATATATAGAATAAGGGTCAGATATAAAATAAGGGTTAGGTATAGAATAAGGGTTAGGTATAGAATAAGGGTTAGGTATAGAATAAGGGTTAGGTATAGAATAAGGATATAGATTAAGAATTAGATATAGAATAATGGTTAGATGTAGAATAAGGATATAGAATAAGGATATAGATTAAGGGTTAGATATAGAAAAAGGATATAGATTAAGGGCTAGATGTAGAGTAAGAGGTTAACATAGGGTATACATTTAAAAGTTAAGATATAAATTAAGGAATGAACTTGTTAACAAGGGGATAGCTGCCTGAATTGTAATGGAAGCGTGAATGGTAGTATTATTGCAAACACAGAGGCATTGCAGTCGAATGGAGAGGTTATTTGAGGTACGAAACCATTTTTAATACTAACTGGGAACGGTTCCATACGAAACCATATTTATACGAAACCGAAAAAAGGTTTAGATTTCATTGCAAATCTCGGAACCTTTTTTAAGTTCCGTATGGAACTTTTTTTTTCAGTGTGCAAAAACGACCGTTTACGGTAATATTACGCCGGTTTACGGTGGTCCGTTTTGATCGACCTGGGTATTATCGATCTATGAGAATGAGATATACCCATGATCCCCGATTTGTGAATTCTCGGAAACTCAGAGAAAATCAGGGAACTCAAGCAGTACCTAAACTAAGACATCAACCTTGAAAAGTGTCTGAGAATTCAAGCAATTCAAGGAATTCAACCAGTTCAATCAATTCAACCAATTCAACCAATTCAACAAATTCAAGGGAATTCAGAGCAAATCAGGGAATTCAAATAATACCTAAACTAAGACATCAGCCTTGAAAACTGTCTTAGAATTGAAGGAATTCAAGGAATTGAACCAAAATGAGGGAATTTGGAGAAAATCAAAGAGTTGAATGTGTTGTGATACCTAGCGGAACAGGCTACTGCAATCCGCTTCTTTTTGGTGAGTTCGTTGTTACAATCTTCCTCTTTATTTCGCCTTCTTATTATTATTATCTTTTCACCAGCAATAATCTCCCTTCTTTAAACATTAACACTCACTTAAATAGAATAGATACGAGAAGAAGAATGGAATGATTGTAAACGTGATAGAATGAAACCGAGAGAAGAAGAGAGAACATACTTATGGCAGGACAGATATGTCCTGACGTAACATTCGTGGCAGTGAATGCGGATTGTAATATTGTAACTGGTTTTATGTCTCATAGAGTGAATTTGGTTTTCCGCTCTGCAGATACTGATGTTTCTAAATAGGGGGAAGGGAGAGAATTCCTTGTGCTGATGGTGTGCTCCATCAGGCCGAAATTATATCTTCGTTTTCTGTAGTTTCCATGCAGCTCAAAGGTGGGCGGTGTTAGATGTAAATGATCCGCAACCGAATGATGCATGGAAGAAGGTTCTATAAACGTGGCTAACAGCAGCATATATCTGATGTTGATTCCACTCAAAAGCTACTGATATTGCCTTCTCCACATCCACACCAAGCGAAGTGCGACGTGAATAACAGCGCCTGCTCCCATATCACTGGTTGCGATCTAACTTACTCACCGCATGCATACCTGCCATGATGGTAGATACTGTTATAGACAATGAGATTGGACGGCACACAAAGACAAAAGGGATGCATGGGTGTACACAGTTCTAACTGAGTGAAGGCTTCTGAGTCAACCATCTCATGCTGATAACTCAAGGAATGCTGACTCCAGAGAGTTAACAAACATATCACGGATGATGTATCATGGTTGAACGCCATGCCGGACACCTCTCTCACACCAACACTAGCATCAGTTGGGAAACACGGTCACCGCACCCAAATAAGCTAGAGCGGGAGATACCCTTCTCACACCCACACTTGGCTTGATGTAATGTGAGTCTCTTTCCCACACCCACACTTGGCTTGATGTAGTATGAGTATTTTCCCCACACCCACACTTCGCTTATTGTAATGTGAGTCTTTTTCCCACACCCACACTTCGCTTATTGTAATGTGAGTCTCTTTCCCACACCCACACCCTTTTCTCTGAATTGCTTTGAATTCCGTTGAATTAGTTGAATTCTCAGACACTTTTCGAGGATGATGGCTCAGTTTAGGTACGACTCGAATTTCCTGATTTTCTCTGAATTGCTTTGAATTCCCTTGGATTGGTTGAATTCCTTGAATTGCTTGAATTGCTTGATTTCTCAGGCACCTTTCTAGGATGATGGCTTAGTTTAGGTATTACTTCAATTCACTGATTTGCTCTGAATCCCCTTGAATTGCTTGAATTCTCAGACACTTTTCGAGGATGATGGCTCTGTTTAGGTACCACTGGAATTTCCTGATTTTGTTTGAATTGGCTTGAGTTGCTTGAATTGGTTAAATTTCCTGGAATCGCTTGAATTTTTGAGAATTCTCAATCCGTGGATCGTGGGTATTGCTGATGAGAATCGAACAAATTCGAAGGATAAAATAAATGAATTAGTAAATAACAACCTTTACTTTCCATGGAGACTATGCTTATTTTTCATCAATTACTTTTATGCTTTTTGTTTAGAATGTTTTCATACAACTGAAATGGCATACTGGTGATATCTGCTGTACTTTTGCTATTTATTAAGTCTCGTTCTTTCAATGCACTTTTCATATGTTCTATAAGTACTTTCCAGTAGACTTTTCAAATCAAACTTTGAATTACTGCGCAAAATTAGATTAACAATAATATTAAGATAAAATCATATAGTCATGTAATAATGAAATGTGTTGCAATTTTATTTCTTATATTCGGAGAATTACAAAAAATTCAGGCAGTTTTAGAACATACCAGCAAAAAGCTGTTTAAATTCTCCTATAATTTGACCTGCAATAGGTTTACCAGTACTTGGTTGATTTTGGAAATCAGCTTTCAGCGCTTCGCCTAGTCCATCGATGAATCCAGAGCATTGGGTTGTACCACCGATGAGTCTCTGCCAATTTCCAGGAGCATTTACATAAACCAAAGTATTATTGAAAGCTCGTGGTGTGTTATCGAATTTGTGCAACGCTTGGTTGACATTGGTTAACGCACGTGCAGCGCGATCAGGATATTGAGCAAAATAATTACATACAGAAATTTTGAGAATAGCCCAGGGAATGCCATTGATCAATGGCGAAACTGTACCAACGGCAAGAAGCACCTGTAAATTGAAACATCCCTATTTCATCGTTTAATAAAGCAAATAAAAAATTACCAGAATAAAGACACCGGTAAGATGCATGGAAAAAATAATATAAAGTAGATTGATGCATTTTTTATGCACTTATATACACGAATGGCATACTGTTTTATCAATAGTGATTACTGTATGCCATAAAAATTTGCAAAATTATGAAGAGTATAATTAGGTAGATGGTTATTCATCGATGATTGACGGCTGAATACGAAAACAAAAAGCAGCATACGCAGTATGACATATGGCATCAAAAGACTTTCTTTATGCTACTCAAATATTTTAAATAAGTACTTCTTTCTTTACGAAAATGAATGTGCGATTAAAGAAATTCTAAAGCATAATATGTTTTAACTTGATAAACTTAACATTCGAAGAGAATTTCTGTTTGAGAGGACTTTTGTGTTAAATGATATATTTGTTAATTCCTCAAAATATCGAATTTCTCGATGAAGATTTTGCCATCTCTATCAAGATATATTTTACACTTTAACCAGATACGAACATATAGAAAATTATTGAAAATTTCTCGAGAGACCTTGATTTACAGTATTTTATTGTTAAATTCTCATGTCTTTTGCTTAGCTTCTATTTTTAAATAAGCTAATCAAAACTACGGATTCCTATAAACACTGACAAAGACACTTCAGTCCAATTTCGGGATTGAAACACTAATAATATTTAAAACATCGACAAGAAACTAGTTTTCGAGAAAATTGTATTAATATTTTTCTTGTGAAGCTATTTTTCTATGAATTTCATTTATTGATATATTATCTAGCTCAATCATGATTAATCGACAATGAATAAAACTATGCCCTCGTTTCATTCCTATTACAATAATAAATAACGAGTTGAAATGTAAATTAAAACCATTTGTTTATCTGATTCTGCTTTACATTTAAATCAAGTCTGATATATATACACCGACATGTGCATATCGAATATTATTGGAATTAATTAAAACCAAACTATCTAGTAGATATCGAATAGAAAAATAAATTCTAAGAAATAATGATCATTGACCATATTCGATTAGTTATATTTATTACGATTTTATATTTCGATTCCTATAAATGTTCAATAGATGATGTTTCATATGCACTCACCTATGGACAAGAATCATTGGTAAGATCATATTTCAAAGATAAGCGCAACGATGATAAACTTAATTTTCTAGTCGCATTATCCATTAGAAACACATGAAATCGTTCGTCGGTCAGTTAGTAATACTAAATGTAAGCGAAAGAAGGAACGTTTTGTAACTATCTTTTTTCATGCCATTTTTTTTGTTTTAGGCGGAAAAGATTTGATTTGTCTAAATGGTGGTAAATGTAAAGATTATCAGTGTCATTGCTTGGAACACTTTATGGGTCATGATTGTAGTATAAGTTAGTTGATTTCTATCAAATTGAATGTTTTCGTTAGTGATACTTTATTTTGAGTACGATGTGGTCACGGTTGGTGTTCTCAAACTGGAGGAAAATGTAAACATAAAAAACATTGTCAATGTTTACCAAGAGCTGGTGGTCCGGATTGTGGTGGCGGTAGGTGAATGCAATTAAAGAAAATAAAACTTTGTTTATTTCTCTTTATTTCATATAGTTAAATGTAATAGAGGAACATCAGTTAGTTTGATATGTTACAATGGCGCTACTTGTAATAATGAAACGGATACATGTAATTGTCGGTCAGGTTATCAAGATGGCGGAACGGGTTGTTTAACGAGTAAGTTAAATTAGAAGAAAAAAGATTATTTATATCTATATAAATATGCATATATTGATTTGTAGAAGTATGTCCCAATGGTGATTTATGCTATACCAATAATGGTGTTTGTACAGATACAGGATGTAAATGTCGATCGCCATTGATAAATGGTTCCGATTGTTCTCGGAGTAATTTTTTAATCTTAACAGAAGAAAAACTTTATATGTTTTCTCTAATATTAAGAAACATGTGGAAAATCGGGTTTAGTCTGTAATAATGGAGGTACATGTGTAGATGACAAACATTGCCAATGTTTATACGGATGGAGTGGTGTTACTTGTGATGGTCGTAAGAATTGAAGAATTATATATTTGCGATCAAGTTTACATTTTTTTTCTGATTTATTTATTTGAGGAAAATGTCCTGGATTCAAAGATCTTATTTGTTATTCAGCAACATGTCCTGCTATTGGTAGCGCACCGGTATGCCAATGTCCAGGACATGCTAAAGGAAAAGATTGTTCTGGAAGTAAATAGATTAACACTTGATTTATTTTTGTCTTCATAACGATCCATCGTTTGTTTTAAATAGTTACCTGTGGAAATAATGGATTAGCCTGTTATAATGGTGGTACTTGTAATGAAACATCTTCAACGTGTTCATGTCTAGTTGGATATGGTGGACCTGATTGTAGAGCCAGTATGCGAGAAACATGTGTATGTTAATTCATCGTATGTGGCTTCATTTTTTTCTGTTTAGTACGATGTGCAGCTCATCCAAATATATTTTGTTATAATGGTGGTTGCCCAGCAGTAGGACACGATACTGAAGCACAATGCATGTGTTCAGAACCATACACGGGTATTGATTGTTCACAAGTGATGTGTAGTCACAGTGCAGTGACATGTTATAATGGTGGCGAATGTATGGATGGCAAATCATGTGCTTGTCCGCCTGGTTATGGAGGTGTTGATTGTCGTGGACGTGAGAAAATTAATATATACATATTTGCATTTATATTTGGTTGTCTTCTTCTAATGTAGTTCCGTGTGGATCAGAATTTTGTTATAATGGTGGAACATGCATAGAAGATCAGACCAGTGGAGAAATGAAATGCGCTTGTCCAGGCAATTATACACTTCCTGATTGTTCTGGAGAAAAGTGCTCTGCAAATGGACCTATTTGTTATAATGATGCTATTTGTGAAAAAGATAAACATGATAATTATACATGTCAATGTACTGGACAATGGGCAGGCGCTGATTGTTCAGCAAGTATGGTATCTCTTTATTGTCTAAAAGTATTTAATTTAGCTTAATCAATGTAGCACCGTGTCAAAATGCATTATGCTATAATGGTGGGTATTGTGATGATGATGAAAAAGGAAAAGATGGCTGTGTATGTGTCAATGGTTGGCAAGGAGTTGATTGTCGAGCAAGTGAGCAGAAGAAATAAAGTTGATTTTAATTATTTTTTTATTTTTTCCAAGGTTCATGTGGACCTCATGGACTTATTTGTCATAATGGTGCATCATGCATATTAAATTCCAATTCGAATTATGTTTGTCAATGTAAACATCTCTGGTCTGGTCCAACATGTGAACAACGTCAGTGAAATTCTTTTGAATTTTTATTTTATGAATTTTTATTTAAACAGAAATATGTGGTATGCGAGGTTTGGTTTGTTTGAACAGTGGTATTTGTTCATTGGCTACAAATAATCATATACCGCCAACATGTACATGTTCAGTGGGTTTTGCTGGTGATGATTGCTCCGCTTTAATATGTGGTTCTGAAGGGAACGCTTGTTTTAATGGCGGACGTTGTAATGAAACAACAGGCTCATGTATTTGTCCTCATCCACTGACTAGTGACGACTGTCGTGGCAGTATGTATATTTCTTTCACGTTATAATTTATATATTTACGTATATATAAATGTATGCAGATGTAAATTCTTGTAGATATATGTGGTGCTGGTACAGCTAATAGCATAGTCTGCCAAAATGATGGTGTTTGTGTAGAAAATACTGAAGGTGAATGGGCATGTAATTGTACACATGGATGGACAGGACCCTATTGTATGTTACATGTGTGTGGTGATAATTCATCAACTAATTTAGTATGTGCACACGAAGGAAATTGTGTACATTCACCTATAGCAGGTGACTATACTTGTTCGTGTCAACCTCAATGGACGGGAGCGGATTGTTCTGGTATGCGATGTTCAGAACCTGAAATTGCATGTTATAATCAAGTGGATTTTGATTCTAATGTTTGCACATCCAAAGGATGTGATTGTCTCAACGATGGTTATGGAGCTGATTGTAGAGGTGTTCGCTGTGGCCTAGAACCGGGTCGATGTTATAATGGAGCTGTATGTATTGATGGATTACGAGCTGTTTGTTCAGCTTGCCCACCAGGCGTTACTGGCAATGATTGTTCGATGAGTAAGAGATTACTTTTATTTTATCCGTCTCACTCTCTATATTTCTTGAATGTTCATATTAGTGATGTGTCCTGGTGTCAAAAGTGGTTATTGTTTTAATGGTGGTGTTTGTGTTGGTGGAACCACTTGCTTATGTGGTCTTCGAAGTGAATGGTCTGGTGTAGATTGTTCCGAAAGTAAGTTGTGAAAGAATGAATTATACTTTATTGTTATGCTTTCTAGGACGATGTTCGGGCAATTATAGATGTTTAAATGGTGGATCATGTAATAATAGCCCAGCAAAACGTGAATGTATTTGTCCGTCAACATTCGAAGGATCTCAATGTGAAAATCCGATAAAACATCAATAATCAATATCTTTTCATAAAAAAATCATGTCTAAATAAAATATGGCAGAATTCACTTTCTATGAAATTTTTTGGAGACTTGTCAAATACTATAAATAAAAAATAACTTAATCATATATTAACAGAAACTTTGTCTTACACGATGTTGATTGAGTATACACAACGCTTTTATTCATTCAAAGAAATCTTAAGAGATTTTTTTTGAAAGTTTCCTGAAACATTAGCGCAACAAATGTCTAGGATTTATGAAGGGAGATAATCGCCACGAATTATATAAAAATTATTGATAAATAAATGAGGAAACATCGGATTCGCTTCCGCTTGTTATGTGTACTGCAAAAACTGAGTGGATTTGTATATGTTGTGAATAATTCTAAGAAAAAAATTTTTTTTTTGAAAAAATTCCTGGGGGGGGGGGGCGGGGGGGGGGGGGGGGGGGGGGGGGG